GAGTAAAAGAGAGACAAGCCTAGAATTCCAACTAGCTACAAGTAAATTAAGTCCATCATCACCACCAATAGATGCTAACCATTGAGAAGATTTCTGTGCATAGGCTTTTTAGCAATAAATCAGTTTAATTGGACCATTGCATAAGGACCTGGTCTTTCACACCTGACAGCTGTAGTTCTTCAGACATTCAGCTGCCAACTCTTATCCAATGCACAAAGAAATATCAAATATTCTATGTATGTCTGAATATGTCCATGGTTTTTAAATCTTCTTTAATATTTAAGATATTTCATCAAATTTTAACAAAACATTACTTGAAAAATCCAAGCAAAACTGATGAACTATATTTTTAAATTCCTTAAGAATTATCAAAACTTTTAAGAAGCAATGCATATACACACATACTTACACTCACAAACCACACAAACCACTCATCTTAACATTTCACTTCACCCCACATGGAAGGAAAGTAGCCCAAGCTAATGTTCCTGTAAATATATTAGTCAGCACACAACAAGTTTTGGAAATGTTGAGACATCTCTACTTGATTTGAATGATTCCAATGTAATGTTATGCTTTTTCTTCCTTTCTAGTGTCTGCTACAGATGCTAAGAGATACTTTTCTGCCACAAGCTCAGTCTTGCCAACATAATATTCTAACAGCATGCTCTCATTGTTTCCTCTCCTTCTCTTGCTTCTTACAAAGGCATTCCAACTATCCTATAATCCTGAAGCCACCCTGGGTCCCAAACAAAGATGCAGGTATTGCAAAAATTATGCAGCACAACCAACCTTCACCACTCCCAGTTTATCCCTTCCTCCTCGCTCTATCAAGATTTAAAACACTTTTTCACGATGGTTGCTAGGAATGATTTAAGCTGTCTGCTCTGGGCTTAACTTAATTCCACCCCCTTGAGATTTCCAAAAGGGGGAGATGGGGTGGGGGATAAGGAGAAAATTAGCTGCAACCATTCATAATTTGAGACTGGAGTAGAGGGTGATTCATAGATCTGCTTTCTATACCTTAAGAGTATCAGAACGTGATTAGTTTTTTGCAGGGCGTAACCTGTGTGCAAATAGCTTTCAGAGTACAAGAGCAAGTGAAAAGCAGAGTTATTGCCTTTTCAGTAACTTACTGCAGGTGTTTGAGTTTTTAAAAATTAGCTTTCGGACAACATCACTTATAAAAATCTAAGCATGCCTTTTTATAAATTACTATAGCTATTTCAGACTATAGTCAGAAAGGATATAAGCCTGTTTTTAAAAGAAACTTTTAAATGTCAAAAGTACTTGGTGCAGTAGGGAAATAAGAGTGTTGCAAATACCGTGCTACCTAAAAGCATGAACATGGGAGAGGACATTTCAATCATTAAATCCCTTTTGTTTTTCAGTGCAGGAATCCACATGAAAGCATCCAGAGTAGATGGTGGTTCAGGCATTTTCCTGAATATCTCCAGTGGAGGATACATTGCTTTCTCCTTTCTGGGTAATTAATTCCACTATTTGAATAGCTCCTACAATTACCAGCATTTTTTGGACTGACATTCAGTAAAGGTTGACTACTTGTAACTTAAATCCATCAGTCTATTTCTTCTATTTGGTCACATTCAATATATTATATAACATCCTTTCAGGTATTTTGAAGAGTGTGTTCATACCCTTACCTCATTGCTAAACATTTCAAAGTCTTTCAACCTCTATTATTAAGTTTTAGTTTCTAGTCCCTGATCATCCTGATAACCTTCCCTGAACATGTTCCTGTTTGATGTCCAGAACTGGGTTCAATATGAAGGCGGGAGACTAACATGGGATAAAACAGAACAATTACTTCTTGTAATTTACTTATTTTTCCAATTTATATGGTGGCCCATGTCAACAAGTGATTTCAACAGAAATTATACAGCCTATTACAACATTTGTCCTTTTTGCAGAAAATCACACTGCTCATTCACATATGATTAGATTTTAGGCATATATGATATAGCCTCTTTTTTTTAACAAGTGCTGCCAAATATTACCTTGCTACACCTTTGTTTTGATTTGTATAAAACTTGTATTTCTTTCCATTACATTTCAACTATTTATTGCCCATCCATTTCTCTAACTGACTGAGCAGCGGCATCCACAGGAACTCATTGCCATTAGTGGAGTGCTGGTGAGAACCCATTGCAAACTTTGTCCCTTGGGCCATGCATGCAATGTTGTGATGAACACAGAAGGTGGGGCTTACACCACAACACTGCCACGCTGCTGATGCCAGTCTGCACCCTTTGCCCATCGCTGCAGATGCTGCTGGTATCAAGATGGTTTTGAATTTTACGGCTACCCTTTGCAGCATCAACTATTCCAATCCACTTTGCCTACAAATTTGATATGCGTGCCTCCACCTTATCTTTGAAGTGATTTTTTTTTTCAAAAGAAGATCCATGGCTAAACCATGCACAACCTCAGTGGGTATCACTCTACAACTTAATGAGGAACCATTTATGAACACCCTGGGTACATTTTGCAAGCCAACCATATATATCCATTTAATGGTCCTGCCATCCTAGCCATCCCCAACTGACACATTCTCATGTTTATTATTTCTTTTCATTTTCAAACTGTGCAAACTGTACTGCCTTCACTTGCACAAGTCTAAGAACAAAAGCAGACATATAAACAACTTTGGCTCTTCAGGCTATCATGAAGATGCCAGACTATTTTCTAGGCACCCCCTCCTTTCCCGGGTCCAACAAATTCAGTTTTGTTTTGGTTTTTTCCTCCCTAATTTTTTTTTAATACAGCTGCCCTGTTGTCCTGCCCAGTTCAAGAGTTTCCTCCCTAGTTTAACTGCAGAAAATGCCTGTTGCCAAAAGCTAATTTATTTGTTTTGGGTTTTTTGCAAGGGGAAACAAAACAGCCAAAATTCCACTGAAAGTGTCTTTCTTATAAACGTCGCTGCCCCTCCTCCTTCTCCTCCTCCCGTCTAATTGCCTGCAATAAAGCCGCCGTCAACGACGAGACTGGAGAGGGCTCGCCTTCTGCTTTAGCGGCTAGCCAGGCTCCTCCCTTGCATCTAAGCAATTTCTTAAATAAAGAGCTCCCGCAAAGCAACCAGCTGGGAGAAGATCAGCGCGCAAGAAGAAAATCGCCTTCTGAGAAGGAGGGGAAGGGAGAGGGGAGGGGGGGAGAGAGAAAGGGCTCGCCAAACGCTTCCTTCCACTTAATCTCATCCGTCATTTTCATCGCGGATGAAGGCGGGGTGGGGATCCGCAAGGTGGATCCCCGCAGCTCTAAACAAAAAGGAGAGAGGGGGGGGGGGCTTTGACGTTTCTCTTCTGCTATTCACAGAATAAAGTCCCCCTGTGAAGAATTATCAGAGGTCCGGTGGTTTAGGGGAGGCACGATCTGGTCTCTAAGCGTCCCAAGTTTTCCTACCCTGTTGCATCAATCAGGGAGCCGCCAGCTAAGCGGTTTTCGCGGTTCTGTTTAATTGCAACCGGGGAACATCTTCTGAATGGTCACGTTTATCATTCATCATCAAAGCTACACCAACAGCACCTCCTTCTCGGCCTCCCCCCCCCGTTCCTTCCCTTGGATCCCCCCTTGAGTTTTGATAGCGATTCTGCCCACTAGAATAGGGGCGCCCACCGAGGCGATGGCCACCGAGGCTCACCCCTGGGCTGTCCCCACCCTTCATCCGAGGAAGTGAAATCGCGGTACGCTCGTTTGGTTGAAGTTTATTTGGGCGGCCGTCTTCGATATTGATATTTTTCTTTTCCTTTTGGAAAGGGGAGACTGTCTCCCAGCTTACTCCCCGAGACAGCCAAGAGGAAAGCCAGGCAGGGCTGAAGTTTTAATTCATTCCCTGGAAAAAGCAGCACCCGTTCCCCCAGCACAGCCCCGATGAACAGGGGAAAGGGCCGGCTTTCTTATCCCAAGAACGTAATTAGCCCAAGTAAGATTGAGGCCGGGAAACGCGGGCTGGAGCTCCGCTTAGAAGCGAGCACGGAAGGACGAGTCGAACCACTAACGAAACCAGCCTTCACCTCGCCACCACGAGGGCCGCCGGGACACGGTACAAGACGCGATCAATCACACGGGTGGAAATGGCCTGTAGGCTCCGCATCTGTATTCTTGCCACGTTAAGAGCAATCACAGGACCGCCGCCCAGGTTCGATTCTTTCCCTAGTCAAGCTCTCCAGACAAAACAAAAAAAAAAAACCAACCAACCACCGGCCAAATTTGCGAGCGCCCTGTTTGTGCCCAGCGCGTTCGTACCAGGCGTTTCTTTTCTGAAACGCGAAAAGGCAGAATTAAGGATCGGGTCCCCACAGTTACACCTTCCAACCACGCCGAGCCTCTTCCCACCCTTCATCTATTGTAACCCGGCACAGCTGTGGGCGGGGGAGGACGGGCGGTGTGAGCACTAAGTTGGGAGCCGGTCGTCGCTTCGCTCCTCTCTTGCTCTTGGCCAAGCCTTGCCCAGCCTTCTCCCCGACCCCAAACACCTTGCCCGGCTTTGCCCGGCTACTCCCCATCACGCACCCACCGTTCCGACGTTCCCCTCCCTGGGAAAAGCCCGCTTCTCAATTCAAGCAAGATTCGGGGAGAGGGGCAGGAGAGCCCTGCAAACGCCACCGGAGCCCAGTTCCGAGCGCCGGTAAGCATCTCTGAGCTCCACAGCTGGAAGGATTGGAAAGCACTTCCTGGCCCCCAGCTTCCTAGCCTTCCAGATCTCGGGATAAGGGTAGGCGAGCCGCATTGCAGCCGGACTACAGGGGAAATCCACCGGGGGACACGTCCCGTGGAGTCGGTGCTCGCTCCCCGCGTCTTTTCTCCGAGCGTGGGGCGGGCAAGAGGCAGGCAGAGCAACGGAACCGAGCAGGGCTTTCCCTCCTCCCGCGAGTTATCAACAGCAAATTCAACAATCCGGCGAATATTGTCGTTTTTTTAAAAAAAAAAAAAGTTTTCTTTCCACCCGCCCACTCGCTTCCCTTTCGTTGATATTTTGTTACCTTCCACAGCTGCAATTGCAGATGCCAAGCAGAAAAGCACAACAAAATCCAGTGCCGTGGGTGCCCCAAACATGATGCAGAAGAAACGGGGTGCAGGTTTAAAAAGAAGAAAGGAAATAGTTCCTTGTTGGACCAGATTTAGTTCCTTCCCCGTCGCTTTTTCCTTCTCTCCCTCTCTCTCTATAATTCAATATATAATTTATATAGATATAGATATATCCTGAACAACTCCACTCCGGAATACCGAGTCCACCGCGTGGGTCCGTGAGTGCGTGCGTGCATGCGTGTGTATGTGTGCAAGTGTGTGTAGGTATGTGCCGGTGTCTGTATGCGTGCGTGTGTGTGTGTATGAGGTGTGATGTGTGTGTGGCTGAGAAAAAAAGAGTGTCTATATTCTAGTGTCACATTGCAAGCGGTAGTAGAGTACAGTGAGAACAAGATCAGCCGCTGAAGCTGAAGGGAGGGGGCGAGAGAAGGGTTCCCCCACCCCGCCACTCGCCCGCGCGCGCGCGCGCGCGCTCTCATCCCATCAATACTTTTCCCACCCCTAACGGCTCCCGTCCAATCAAGAAATCAAGCCCACAAAAATCCTCCGACCAATCAGCAACGAGCACCCCCTTTTACTCCAGTATTGTTAGTTTTAGAAAAACTTTTGCAGGAAGCCATAGGGAAAGACCTGCGTGATGGAGCAAAAGCCTAGAAGGAAGGAGAACAGCGCCCCCTAGTGTTTCCTCGGTCACATAGTTCGTCTCGTTCTATTCAAGCCCTATTCATTCCGGTAGCTCAGATTTGGCTCTTTCTTAGCCTGCCTATTTCTACCTTCGGGCCTGGTGTGTATGAAAATTTTCTTCACCCTGGGCCTTCACGTCTCTCCCATTCAATATGTCTCTTTATCTAGGAAAGTACCGTATGCTAATGCAGCCCGCCTACCCTGAGCTGTCCCAGGTGAAGGCAGAGTGTAGCGGTGGTGAACGGAGCAAAGGAGATGCAGGGACCTCTGACAAACAAAATCTTTCTTGACCTCTGGGCATTTTAGTCACATCAGTAATGCCTAAAGTCAAATTCCTCAAAAAAAATAAACAACAGCAACTATTTTCACCCAGGTTTTGATGGGAACAAGCCATGTTTGCATTTGGTAGAAGTGAACATAATACAATAATCTCAAATCTATATATGGCATACGGAGATAGATATTTGGATCACATCTTTCAAACTTGTAATCCTACTTTGCTTTTGAAAGGCAGGTAAATGCTTAAGTAACATTGAATTATTTGCTTTTGTCTGCAGGCTGATATCTACGTATACTGGAATTTATATTATTAAAGTTAATTGGGTCCGTTGAATAGAGATTTAGAGCATTCCTTGTAAAAGATAGATAGATAGATAGATAGATAGATAGATAGATAGATAGATAGACAGACAGACAGACAGACAGACAGACAGACAGACAGACAGATATACACACATACATACACAGACAGTATATATATGTTGCCTTTTGGTAGAGCTTCCAAGGAAGACACACAGTGGTTAGAACATGGTACTGCAGGCTAACTCACTGCTGAATCCAGGAGTTCAATTCTGACCGGCTCAAGCTTGATTTAGCCTTCCATCCTTCCAAAGTCAGTAAAATGAGGACCCAGATTGTCAGGGACAGTATGCTGACTGTAAACTGCTTAGAGGGGGCTGAAAAGCACTGTGAAGCTGTATATAAGTCTAAGCGCTATTGCTAATTTACAACAAATAAGCAAACAATAACATCTCATAGTGTGCTAGATACTTTGAAGTTGTAATCTAAGGGTCAGCTAATGTCAGCCTGAAAAAGGAATCAAAAGTACATGATTCATGGGAGGAGTCCGGTAGCACCTTTTCCAGCCAACAATTTTTTATTAACATTTTTATTAAAATTGAGCTGCAGCTCAATTTATCAGATGCAGAGTGGTGAAAGATTTGAACTGGGGTGGAGGGGAGAGAAGGGAGAGGAGATTTGAACTGGGGTGGAGGGGAGAGAAGGGAGGGGAGACAGGTTGATTATGCAGATTACATACGAGACAGATTACTAGTACATGTAGTCCTCTACTTACGACCACAATTGAACCCAAGATTTCTGTTGCTAAGCGAGACAGTTATAAAGTGAGTTTTGCCCCATTTTTCGATTTTTCTTGCCACAGTTGTTAAGTGAATCACTGCACTTCTTCCGTTAGTAATATGGTTGTTAAGTGAATCTGGCTCTCCCATTGACTTTGCTTGTCAGAAAGAAAGAAAATCACATGACCCTGGGTCACCGCAACTGCCATAAATATGAGTCAGTTGCCAAGCATCTGAATTCTGATTGTGTGACCATGGGGATGCTGCAACAGTTGTGTGAAAAACAGTCATAAGTCACTTTTTTCAGTGCTGTTGTAACTTCACTAAATGAACTCTTATAAGGCAAGGACTACCTGTACTTTATGAATTCACCATTGGAATGTGTTAAAAGCTGACTGAGTTTGTTGAGATCTTCTGAGAGTACCTGAAATATTTTGATGGGGGTGGGTTCAGCAACCTCTCACGCCTCCATAGGCAATTAAATCTATTTTTCCACAACAGCCACTTTGAGATCTGCTATGATGTCCTGGTAGGTCATAATGATCTGATACTACTTAGTCCTTGTCTGGAATCTATATGTCAAAATTGCATCCATTAATTATTTTATACAAACCTTGCCCCATTTATCCAACAGAATCTCGGAGGGGCATTGCAGGCAGATAATTTTATCTAGATGCTTTTATTATATCCTTCCCATCCTTAGAAGTGAAAAGCCATATGATAACAATATTAAAAGAATAAAACCAGTGGCTTCCGGTATTCCCAGTCAGCATAACCAGAGGGGCAGGCCAGTCGAAGTTATCCTTCCAGTATCTGAAGATTATCCGCATAGGACCTGATCCAGATTGCTTGCCATGCTGATGTCTTTGGAACCCCCTTTACAACAAGGCAGAGTGGTCACCTGTCTTTTTCAATAGCAACAAAGATACCTTTATCTTCCCCAGGCTTTTAATTATAGTAATAGCAACAACACTTAGACGTATATACCACTTCACAGTGCTTTACAGCCCTCTCTAAGCAGTTTACAGAGTCAGCATATAGCCCCCAACAATCTGGGTCCTCATTTTACCCAATTCAGAAGGATAGGAGTCAACCTTGAGCCTGGTGAGATTTGAACTGTCAGTTGCAGGCAGCCGGCAGGCAGCAGAAGTAGTTTACAATACTGCATTCTAACCACTGCACCACCGCAGCTCAGAATTATGGGTTAATTCTGCTGTAATTTTTAACTTTATATTGCTGTTGGCTTTTTGTCATTATTTTAATGTTATGGTACTGTTGATTTTGTTCTGAACTTAATAAATGTCTCCGTGTAAGTTTTTAGTAACTGTAATTACTAAATTACTAAAGTGTTTTCATTGTAAAACGCTTCTGATATATATTTTTTAAAAAATGGGAAGCTGCATGGAAATCTTTTAAATATATAAATTCCTTCTACATATTCCATTTGATGGTTTTGTTGTTTCTTACAGGTTGGCTTCAAAAAAGAACTATGGTACTGTTCCTGCTTTGTCTATATTATTCTTAGATGTTCTTCATTGTCAGGTCAAGTTCATGGAGATGGATATGTAGTTTTCTTGACAATAGGAAAGTGGTTCACCATTATCATCTTTTGTAGATATATAGCAATAGAAATAGCACTTAGACCAGGGATGAAATCCAGCAGGTTCTCACAGGTTCTGGAGAACCGATAGCAGAAATTTTGAGTAGTTCAAAGAACTGGCAAATACTACCTCTGGCTGGCCCCAGAGTGGGATGGGAATTGAGATTTTGCAGTATCCTTCCCCTGCTACGCCCACCAAGCGACACCCACCAAGTGACACCACGCCCACCAAGCCACACTCACAGAACCAGTAGTAAAAAAAATTGGATTTCACCACTGACTTAGACTTACAGTATATACCGCTTCCCAGTGCTTTGCAGCTCTCTCTAAGCAGTTTACAGAGTCAGCATATTGCCCCCAACAATATGAATCCTCATTTTACCAACTTCGGAAGGATGGAAGGCTAAATCAACCTTGAGCCGGTTAGGCTCGAATCCCTGGAGTGAGTAGTGAGTTAGCCCTGCAGTGGTGCATTCTAACCACTGGGCCACCACGGCTCTTAGCTATCTAGCCTACAGTCCTAATATTTTTTGTAGTCTCTTAAGTATTAACTCCATCTGACCTTGCTTCGCTTTTAAAGGTCAACCAAAGTTACCTAGATTCTGCCATCTACTTGTGTGATGTTATAATTACAGACATAAATTAAAGATATTGTAGGATGTGCAATGTCAGAAATGGTTTTTTAATAGCTTACTGTAATACCTACCAGTAGTGATCCAGGTCTGAAAAAGATGTTCTAAATTATCAGGCTCTCATACACAGAAATCTCTTTGTGTTATGTCACAGTAAGATGTTACTCATTGATGTGCTCATTGCCAGGAGTTCGATCATACCAGTTCAAGGTTGACTCAGCCTCCCATCCTTCCAAAGTCAGTAAAATGTGGGCCCAGTTTGTCGGAGACAATATGCTGACTGTAAACTGCTTAGAGAGGGCTATAAAGCACTGTGAAGCAGTATATAAGTCTAAGTGTTATTGCTATCGTGATTCTCTATTTCTGGTTATTATTATTTTTCCAAAAAGTATTGTTTAGATAGAAAAAAATATTCTACATCTAGAAGCCATCAATATAATCTTCCCTGCCATTTTTCTACCATATGCTTGCTAAGTTGCAGTATAATGATATGCTACCTTCTCATTATTGCCACACAAGTCTTAAGACAGGTGACACCGCTACTGAAAAAAAAGGGTAGAAAATACAAATGGATGCTTGCCTACCTATTTTTACCTTAAGGCTACTTCCAATTCCGCAAACATACTGAAGGCTGCTCATTTGATACAGTTCGAGTAAATGCAAGCCATTGCACAGAAAAGGGACTAAGATTGCAGTATTTTAATATGTAATCATTTTAAAAAGCAAATTGTTGTTTATACTCAAAAATCAAATTATGTTAAACAGGAATGCATTCCAAGGAAATGTGTTTTGTTCCTTTACATCTATGTCAAATAATAGCGCACAACCTTATTTTGGAGAAATGGGTCTATCTGTCAAATGTTATAGATGTTATGGATACAAAAAGGAGAAATAGCCAATGTCTTTTAAATGGACTCAATTATATTAATTCCAAATAATTCTTTGGCTATGAGAGTAGGGAATTCTGAGCAGTCCTAGTGTGGGGAAAGAGTGCTATAAGGAATTGCAGGCTCAGTTTTGTCTAGAAAAGAGAATGCAACTCTCGGAGAATGCAAATTAAGTTTCTCTCTCTTTCCTTCCCTCTCCCTCTCTGTGACAACCTGGCTAGAGATGAGAGATGGGGAGCGATCACAAAGCTCAGCCAAGCCTTCTTATTAGTATTTATACTGTGTACCTTGATTTCCATGCACTACT